GCCAGCTCTAGATGTCACTGTAGGTCAGAGTGACCCACCTCCACCCCAGATGGCCTTGGGCAGCTGTAGAGCAGGAGCCATCTGTGGGGCCTCTGAAGCCCTGTGTGGCCATGCATCCAGGCTCCAAGCCTGTGAGAGAACTTCAGTGCCAACAGCCCAGTGCTGGGGACCATGGTGGGCTCAGCCTTTGGGGAAGAGGGTCATGACAAGGGCCAGTGTACACGGAGGCCAAAGTGGGCCTCAGAGGGCTGCACGCCTTTGTCCCCCGGAAGGCCCCCACCCCCACTGCCTCCCTCTGCAAAGGCAGGTCTGGGCACCTTCCCACCATGGGGCTGTGAGGACTGACTGGTCCTCACAGGAGGGAGCCTCCGATGCCCGGCCCACCCCTGGGCTCTGGGGGCAGCCTTCCAGGCCAGCTGTTGCAGGGTGTCCTCCGTGCTGTGTTTGTCACTTTACAGGGGTAGTGGGCAGGCCCAGCAGGGCTGGCCGCCTGTGCTCCTGAACAGCCCCTGTGCAGACCTCCAGGAAGATGGAGCTGGGAGCCCGCCTTCCTCGGGGTGGCTGGGAGGAGAGGCAGTTGCCATGGAGACGGCATCTGGCCTATTCACTCGAGTTTCAGAGGCAAACGAAGAGATAAGAGAAACGGGTGAACCCCCAGACGCGAGGCCTCATTTGCTTTCACCCTCGAGCCTGTGCGTGGGGCTGACAGGGAGGGGAACACGGTAAAGCTCTCGAGACGACCCAGTTAGGGTTTGTCCACGGCTCTTGGATACTCGGCGCACCCGGCCTGGTTGGACTGTTTTGCTGCCAAAAGATTTTGCAGCATCAGATTCTTGGCAGTGGGACAAACAGAAGGTCAAGGCCAGACACAAGCTCCTCCCACCCCAGAGGCCTCAGGCAGGGCCAGGAGGGGCAGCTGTCAGCACCCAGGGCACTGGGGCTGGAGTGGGAGGGAGGCACCCACACAGACACCCACCTCCTGGGGCTGGGGGAGAGGACTTGGGATGAGTTTGCAACCTTGGACCGAGCACCACAGAGGAAGAACATCCAAAGGATAAATATGCATTTGTATGTCCATGCTGCACGCAGGCACACTCGCATGCACACACACACACACACACACACACACACTCCCCCGTGCATGCGAAGTGCTTGCTCGTGAGCATTCACAGCTCCCCTGGAGCCGGGCTGTGCCAGTGCCAAGGGTGCAGGCTGAGACACGGGGCCTCAAGGACCTGCCATTGGTGGGGACAGAGAAACCAGCGCCTCTGACAGCTCAGGTGAGTCCTGAGATGGGGGAGGAGGGGGCTGCATCCACACCAAAGAGC